TGAATTTCTCCGGGGAAAAAAAAAAAAAAACACAGAAAACGCCAATCCCTGTGTCTATTTGTTAATTTATTAGCAAACACGTAAACGATATGTACATATCGATCGCATACGTCTTTTTAATCTTGCTATAATATTTCGTTTGTTCGCTTCTTTTTTTCCAGACCTCCCTTTTCATCTCTTTCTTGTTTTTCTTCTAGTATACCCATCTCTCTCTAATCATATATATATATATAGTACGAACGGTGGATGCGTGGCGCTACGGACGTATCATAACTTCGTTGCGTAATTCTCGGAACACGTGCGTCCACGAGACGTTCACGCTCTCGGGTCCCTACGGAGTCGTCCGAGTGGGCCGTAGGAGATTACGCGCTCTGTCCAAACAAAGCGGTACCGACAAGAGTGCGAGTGCGAGAGAGAGGAAGAACGTATTTTTATATAAGGACGAGCAAATAAAGAATATATATATATATATATATATATATAGTATATATGCATACACATAAAAATTATAAGTCCCATGAGTCTCTGCCAGATAGTTGGACGACAAAAACACCAGATGTCTTTTACGAAGGATATCCCCGAAGACCCACGACCTTCCCGGATTAACGTTATCATACAAATATATGTTACGCGTCATACAGAGCACTGATAACACGTTAAACACGCAGACTGAATATCCCGATTGGATCTTTCTTTGATCGGCTTGTATTTTATCTCCAGACGATAACTAAGAAATTGCGCAATCGCTCGCAGTATTTTGGATATACTTACATGGCTTACCTCTATATCTGTATATATTAACGTGTCGGTATTTAATTTGCCGTTTGGCCATTTCGGTGACGATCTCAGGTACGCGTTGGCTACTTCGAGGACACGTGACTGTTTCGAGGACTGTCCTCAAAGAATTTTTCAGCGTAACGGCCGTTTTGAGTACCGTGAAGCGTCACGACTGAATTTTTGGACTTTCCTTTTAAATGCTAGTCACTCGGACCTGCGATGGACTTAGAAAGCATTACGTTAGGATAGGATGGAATTTCAATGCCGTGACGTTCGAGGTTTAATTTGTTTTTTTAATTATAAAAACGTATCGGCCAGCTATCGTGAACGCCGCTTTACCGGTACCCTGTCCTCAAACTGTACGCACACGCATACGCACGTATATTTGGTATACGACGCGTGTTACGTAACCATCCAAAAATATATTCCGACTATCGATCTATTTGTTGAGATTTATGTCGATCCCCC